AAGCTTATATAAATTTGTAAAGTATGAGCAAGATTTGTAACAAATGTCTTGGCTATATTTAGGATAACAAACCAAGAACCATCACTAGTTTTATACTTAAACGATAAAATATAAAATCCCGCGGATTCACCTAATTATTTTATTGAAGTGATAATGCCGCAACGCCTAGGTCTCGCCTGAAGTAATGTGAAAACAATCACGGGCTTGTGTCTAGCATTTTTTGACAAATAATGTAATTGTGTTTTATACATACTGTGGGAAGATCATATATTGTATTTGTATATGATTGTAGGAATAAATTAATTTTCATTAAACAGGCCTACACTGGTTGTGAGTTAAACTGTGTTAGATTAAAATGTTGCTTACTTGCCTATTTTTTTTATACCAGATACAAAATTAATCATTTTGGTTAATTATCCTTAAATTTAATATTGATTCTATTTGTTTTGACTTTTTTCAGAGGGAAAAACCTGCCACTGTGGACAGTGGGGAAGAAGTTCCACTCAATGAGGATGAAGATCTTGTTGAATAGATAACTTACTCTGTATTATTAAAGTAATCGTAAAATGAGGAATTTTTGAGGGAATTGTTTGTTGAAAGTTAAAGATACGAGGCATTTTCAAATATAAATGTGTTATGTAAATCTTCATTATAAATCTATTTAGACAAATTACCTCTTGTGTTTTATTTTTAATTTAAAAGAATTCTGAATTCTACGTACTGAATAGTAGGGATGGACGGGATTGAATTTTTAGTTCGGGACGGGACGGGACGGGATTTTTATTTCCTTCCCGATTTTCGGGACGGGACGGGACGGGATTTTTTTCTGTGCATAAAAAGAAAGTACTGTATTGCAGTTACCAAAAAAGACATACGAAATAAATTTTTACCTTTTGTGGCACTGATCTATAAAAACCAAAAAATGGGTAACAATTTACAGGTACCTATAGTAACTTGTGACTCACGGGGTGATCGTCTGTATGACTCACGGTCACGGCGCGATCGTCGTCATGACTCGCGATCACGGCGCGATCGGCGGTATGACTCGCGGTTACCGCGCGATCGTCGGTATGACTCCGCGGTCACGGTGTTATCGTCGGTATGACTCCGCGGTCACGGGGCTATCGTCGGTATGACTCGCGGTCACGGCATGATCGTCGGTATGACTCGCGATCACGGCTCGATCGTCAGCATGACCCCGCAGTAACGGCGCGATCGTCGTCATGACTCGCGGTCACGGCGCGATCGTCGGTATGACTCGCGATCACGGCTCGATCGTCAGCATGACTCCGCGGTCACGGTGCGATCGTCGTCATGATTCGCGGTCACGCGCGATCGTCAGTATGACTCGCGGTCACGGCGCGATCGTCGGTATGATTTGCGATCACGGCTCGATCGTCGGTATGACTCGCGATCACGGCTCGATCGTCAGCATGACTCCGCGGTCACGGTGCGATCGTCGTCATGATTCGAGGTCACGCGCGATCGTCAGTATGACTCGCGGTCACGGCGCGATCGTCGGTATGATTTGCGATCACGGCTCGATCGTCGGTATGACTCGCGATCACGGCTCGATCGTCAGCATGACTCCGCGGTCACGGCGCGATCGTCGTCATGACTCGCGGTCACGGCGCGATCGTCGGTAGGACTCCGTGGTTACGGCGCGATCGTCGTTATGACTCCGCGGTCACGGCGCGATCGTCGAAATGACTTCGTCTTCTGCGTTCGCGGACCTATCGCTCGCAATAACGGCGTTTTCGGCACTCGCGAAGTGGAAAAATCGCCAACGATCGGACCAAATCCCGTCCCGAAAAATTCCCGAGTCAAATGTAATCCCGTCCCGATAATCGGGAATATTTTTTTCCCGAAAAATTCCCGAAATTTCGGGACCCGTCCATCCCTACTGAATAGTAATAATATGTAAAATTGTAGGGTTGAAAACTATAATAACTCATGTTTTCCTGCTCTTTTATAAAAATAAGTTTTTAGATGGTATCTCACATTTTTATTTAGAGAAGTGGCTTGGCATTTAACAACTAGAGGCATTGAAGTTATTAGATTATGTTGTGATTGTGAAAATTATCTGAAATATTGGAAGATTATATTGTGCTATGCATCTCAACCTAAAAAATATGAAATTTTCATTACATGTGTCAAGACTGTGTGAATCCTGGTAAAAGCATATGAATTAAATTTTCAGAAATAAAAAAGAGCTTGTAAGTGGCTAAAAAAGAATTATTTCTTGTACTCTTCAATTTATATTCAAATTAGATGTTTCAATTTTTATTCAAATAAGATCTTTCAAGTTTTATTCAAACTGGAGGAGCGGGAACTTCGACGCATGATTTTAACTTGAATCAAGTTTACAAACCCGATCCTTCAAGTTTGCAGTTTTGACAAACCAAACTTATTTCAAGCTTGAATCAAGTATTTTTTCAATTTATATTTAGATTAGATAGTTCAAGTGTTATTCAAATTAGATGTTTCAATTTTTATTCAAATTAGAAATTTCAAGTTTTATTCAAATTAGATGTTTCAAGTTTTATTCAAACTGGAAGAGCGGGAACTTCGACGCATGATATTAACTTGAATCAAGTTTACGGACCCATCCGAGCAAACTTGTTTCAAGTTTGCAGATTTGACAAATCAAACTTGTTTCAAGCTTTAATCAAGTATTTTTTGCTATCTGGGTATAGTTTAACAAGATCAGGCTTTGGACCGGCCCCTTTCAAAAGGTAAAAAATAATGCCACTGGCGTTAAAACACACACAAAAGAAAAAAACACATCATCAGGAAAATTTTAAAAAACTCATACGGCCTCCTGTCTAAACTGGAAGTTGTATCACATCAAGGGCCGCGTTAAGGGTCAGTGGCGCCCTGGGCAAACCCAAAAGCAGCGCCCCCCTTATATATACACACATATATATATATTATATATATATATATGTATATATATATATATATATATATAACTATAAAGGTTTTGACCACAGCAGTGTAGGGTGGGGAAGAGGAAAGGGGGGTTGACTCATCAGTTCGCCGAAATTCATAGTAGTTGGGGGTTGGGGTGAGTGCAATGAACTTGACAGTAGTTGCTATACGAATGCCTCTTGCCCTGCACCAATAGCTTAAAGCACTACGCAGTGATTTGATTACAGTACTGTTCAGTACAGTACAGTGTGCAGTGCAGTTCATTGCATTACACACGTATTGAACGAGATTCTACTAAGGGAGTAGTTTTTTCCATGGTTCTACTATAGGCCTATGCATCTATATATTTAAACATTAGCGTGTTTTTTTACCAGTTTTGTTTCGGGAGGGAGTTTTAAATTCCGTAACAGTGGAAATACTGGTACATTTCACTTTCTTTAAAACTACTTCTTGAGTTTGTTTTCTTTGAACCAAACGCTTGCGGCTCTCGGCTCCACTAGGTTTTTTTGCATTTTCCACTGTTTATAGGCCTACTTGTATCAACACTTCTCTATTTATTTATTACTGGTTCACTAACTGCAGTGTGAGTGTCAACACTGACTAGTGACTGTCACAGTTTAGGTTGTGTTGTGACTGATTTGACTACTGAGGAGTACTGTACTGGACTGGCGCCGCACGGTAGTTGGTAGTTGTGACTTGTGGGGATGGGGGTGGGACTGTGAGGGAGAGGAGGGGCACGTCAACCGTATGCCTGTATACTACTGCTGGCCTATGTGATATTCCCGTAATTTGCTGACGTCACCCAAATCGCAAACAAAAAATCAGCTGATGTATTGCCATATAAGTATATATTTGTTTTGATTTGATTGTTATTGTTTTTATAATTTTTCTCAATGGTAAAATTGTGTTTGCAATCTGAGTGACGTCAGCATATGACGGGAATAGCATACCTATGTATTTCCTTCCACCATGCAGGGCTCCCTGCGTCTGATAGTATAGTGAGTGCGCCCATGGTGGAAGTAAATGTACGCCCGGTTCACACTGCTGCCTGCCTTTCCCTGACTACACAAGGTAGGCCTATAGCCTGAAGGTCGAGTATTTTCAATTTTGTTGTATTTATTTACTTTTGCAATAAGGGAAAATCACTTAGCTACAAGTTGAATCACCCATTCTATTTTTGAAATCCCGACTAATAAAACCCTATTTTTCCTAGTCCGGGCGGTGGTTCAGGGCGCCCCTCGGGCGCCCCCCAACCACCGGCGCCCCTGGGCATATGCCCAGTCTGCCCGTTTATAAAAGTGGGCCTGCACATCATACTCTTGAGCTCAGTGAGTAGTGAAAATTCTTGTCAACGAAACTTTCGCAAGCAGACGACAGCGGCGGCATTGACTATAAGCAATGAATAGTTTGTGTATTCATTGCTATAAGGCGGCGGGTTGATCAAATGCTTAAGTGATTGATTCACATATCAGGTGTAATGTTCCCTACAACCATATCAAAGTCCTCTGTCTTTTAACACTTTTATGACTTTCCGAAACAAATTTGTGCCTTCACATTTTTTTACTCGTCAATTAATTTATAAAAATATTTTTTTTCTTATTCCTACACACCTTTCTGAAGCGTCTTTGGTAATATTATTTCACAATATGTTTTGATTTTGTTTGCTAAAATCACAAAAAAGCCCACACACACATTTCAAACAGTAACCTCAAAATAGTGTTCTTGAAGCTTGTTCAGTCACTTTAATTTCCAAGGGAGGTCCCCAGCAAGACCTATAGTTGATAAGGGGAAGGCTTGCCACCCAGGGAGCCATTCATCCTAAGCCCATGCCTGCTGACAACCTTTAAGATGACATGTATTGTGTCAAAGCAAAACTATAATAAGGAATCAATATCAATGAGAGATAAGTTCCTGCAACACAATATAATTACTCAGTTCCACATTAAGGATCAAGTTTGACACAGGAAAAAGAAAAAAAGTAGAATGATTTTAAATTATTATATTAATTATATAATAATATCTCTGACAAGATAAAGAGGTCCAGTACTTCACTGACCAGCTTTTCCACCTTAAGCTTTACCACCTTCAGCTTGTCCACCTTCAGCTTTACCACCTTCAGCTTGTCCACCTTCAGCTTTACCACCTTCAGCTTGTCCACCTTCACCTTCAGATCCTTTCTTATCAGTTTTACCAGGAGATGCACAGTCATCTTTTCCATAGAACGATACAGAGGGATCTTGTCTGTATACAGCTCTCAACTAAACAGAACAAAAGAAGGGTAAGTATTAGGTAACAGTACTGGCAGTCGACAGAGACACTACATCAAGTGGCATCCTACGGCAGAATAGATCTTACCGTTGGGTAGCCCAACCTTATCACCATTGACCTCACAGCCAGATAAAAAAAATCAGATGAAACTCTGCCCGCAAACCTTTGAGTTGTACAACATGAGTTAAATTAAAAAAATGTGAAATTCAATGTTTCTTGTCACGGTTGTGCATTTAACCGGAATAAAATCTGATCCTGTTGCAAGGCACGGGTAGGCCTATAGCTGCTAGTAGTTATGAAAAAATGCTAAATTGAATATGTTTAAATCAGCTGTCTGAAACTGTGAAATAAGCATTTCTCTCACCCTGCTATGGAGACCAAGCTACAGAAACCCCATTATTGGAGAAGTTGTATTGATAGGTAAGAGATGACAACATCAAGCGAATAAGGGAGAGGTGGTTTCTCCACAGTTGTAAGAGTATAAACCGGGAATGGTATTTTGGAAAGATCAATACAAAGATTTTCCCCATTAGAAATCACAGCTTGTGAAAAAGAAAAGATTTTATGAAAGAAAATAAGAGACCATCCGAAAAAGACAAAAGTGTAATTGAAAAAAAAAAAAACAATTTAAGCCAAGGAGAAAACCAGTTGTATAAGACAAGCAAAATTTTCCCAAAGATTTTACTGATTAAAAATTGAACATGCTTGGTTAGGAATTTTAAATGGAAGGAGGATTTTATGAATTTTATTAATTTTACTCTTGGTCTGTCTTTTAAATTTATCTAAATTACTGTTATATTTGTTTTTCAACTTAAAATTTATTTAGTACTAGTTGTTGTACCCGTGCTTACTGCTTCACAACGGAAAGGACACTGAAGCGAAAAAAATTTATCTTGAATTCTGTTGTATAAAATAGTTACACATTCCCCTTTGGTTTCAGGAACATAACTCAATTGAAACTCTTAGTTTAACAAATATCTTTCTTTAAGGCTAGGCTAACTTATAAGGCTACCTCTAGTACGAATGCGTATGAGGCGCTGATGCATTTATGGAAATGATATACCCACACGATTCAATTTTCAAATGATAATATATAAATTATATTATATTATATACTATGTTAATGTTAGATATTTATAATGAATTCAATTATTGTTCAATGCCCAATGGTTATTCAATGACGATTATTCAATGATTCAATTATTGTTAGAAGAGTTAGTTATGTCTTTAGATTCAATACAGAAACCTACTACCTAATTTGTTTGTGAAATAATTATTATAGTATTTTTGTTAATTATTTCAAGATTGAAAACAGTGCAATATATAGGCTATTAAAATTACGAATATTGATTGACTCATGAATTCCATCACAATGATATAAAGGTACTGTGCTGATGTAAAGTAAGCCATTTGTTAATAAAGTTTCTTAAAGATGATTTAATCTATTTACAGATTACTTACCCTCCCTTCCCATTCCACGTATAGTACTGGGAGTTGTGGTACTCCCGCTTTTGCACACACTTCATTGAAATGTTTAGCAGTGTCTAAGTGGATTTTTTTGACATCAACCCAAAGAAGCACAAGGTTTTCATGACCATCTGTTTCAGCAATTGTGGGTGCAGATTTCTGACAACAAAAACATGATTATTTATAGCTAAACACTAATTAATTTATACATTTATCAAATAATACAGAATACAAACATTTACCTACATGAATAAGGAATAATAAACTACAGTTAGACATAACAGCTCATAGACAAAGGGTAGTACCTAATAGTCATAGACTAAACTGCATTCATTTTGTTAATAAATTGCCTGATTCAGCCAGAACTGTATCCTTCAAGATATTCAAATCTAAATTATGTGAATGGTTGATAAGCAATCCTTTTTATGGCATCCATGAATTTCTTAAAACAAAAGTTTATATTGAATTTTGATGTGTATCTACATGGTCCATATTCTCTAGACATGTCATATGTTATTTAACAAAGTATTTTTCTAAACTTTGTATTTTATTTGTTAATTTGGAATGTTTTGTATGTGTTTTGACTATGACTATTCCTTTGTACAAAGAAAGGTTATTGGCAATAAAACTCTTGATTCTTGACTGGTTTGGAGAGAAATTGGGAAATTTTATGTCTTGACGGTCAAAAATGAGAAAAAAAACTAATTTTTACCCCATAAAGCCTCGTTTCCATGGTCCGAGCAAAGCGGGTTCATGAACTTGTTAGAATAAATGTACACGTTTGTAGTAAATTTCATCAAAAACTGTTTATTTTTTATCGATTTATCGAGCTAACAGACACATATTATGAGTAAGGCAAAACAAAAAGAATACTTCAGAACTTTTATTATCATAAATAAAAGAATACAAAGATTAATAATTAATGTACAGTATATGAATTTAGACGGATAGTTTTTTTTTTTTGCCTCTGGGGACATGAAAACAAAAAAGTAAATCTGTCTCGGGTCCAGGTCTTACTATTAGACCCACGGACAAGCTTATTCCCAACGTGGAAAATTTGCCTGAACTCAAAAACTTTGACAAAACAATTATTTCTCCATTTACCATGTATAATGGAGAAAGTAAAAGCTCTATAGATACAATTAATATTCAATTGTCCACTCACCGTCACTGATGTTTTGAAGTATGCAAGACATCTTCTATCTTTTAACTCATCAGTACATGGATAATCAGCATCATAATACGCAACAAAGATAGTTTTTCCAGCGTACTTGGTAAATCTTCCGTCCAGCTCTTCCTAAAACAAGTAAAATCCAGTTACCGTACTATAAATGCCACCAATCAATCATTCTGTATATACAATAATTGATATCTAACAAAGTGCCTAGTAAGATAAGTTTTAACATTAATTTTAAACAACTAGTTGCTAGCCCGACAACAAGGATGGTAGCCATAACAATTTAAAAGTAAAGCTTGGCCTTTGGAAATAAATGCAATTTTCTACAGTCATTTTAAACACAAATTACAACAGAAAAATATAATAATCTGCAAGAGTAAAAAATCATTTGATGCATATCAAATGCATGTTGGTTTTTGGACAGGTATCTGGTATCTACAGTCCCACTTGTAACTGCTCTAGGCTGAAACACAGGCTGAGATAGAAGCCCAGCAGTGTGGCGATGTTTTGTCTGTCCCTGAGCCTTGGTAATATTATGCAAAAGATCAGGTATATTATATAGGCCACTGTGGTCTATGAAATACAAATTTTAGAGTAGAATTCATGATGTAGGCACACATTTTTCTGTAGAATACTAACGTGTCAAAATCGGTACGGCACATTTATTATTTATCAATTCTATATCTAGTTCTAGTGAATAGTTGGAACTAGAGACTTACCTTTGTTTGGATATCGACCTGGTCAAACTGTAATAAAATCAATTTTTGTATTAAAACAATAAATAATAAACGTTTACTAATTTATTTATTTTAATACATATACTTTGCAATAAATGGTGTAGGCTACTGTCCAACGGGATTGTAGGAAGTATTGTAATCCTGTAGGAAGTATTGTAAAGAACATAAAATCATTTGTAATATTAACAGTCCCTACATCTCAAATTTTTTGATGCATGTAAAGGAAAACATGACTATAAGATCGACTATTTCAGAAACTGTATATTTCCTTTTATTTACCTTTAACATGACTAACACTAACCCACAACAGTTATAAATATTTAAGTATAAAGTTGTTTAATAGATTTCCCACCAAAAGCAGCCACTACACCAAAGAAATTCAAAGCAGAGAGTCCTTCCTGAGAAGTTAAAAAAGCTCTTTTATATTTTTCTATAAATGAATTCACTATAACCACTAAATAAGCACAACCAAATAGCAAGATGTAAAACTTATAGCATGTTAATTAGTATTTATTGATCCACAAATTGTTATGCATGTAATTGATTGTACAAATGGCGATTTTGCCGTAAATAAATAAATAAATAAATAAATAAATAATAAACGATTTGAATTTTTAAGAATAATGAGCACTGTAAATCAAACCATTTAGCCTATTTTCGATTGTAATACATTTTATTACAGACAAGAACTATTGACGTTGATTTAATAATACCTTAAAAAAAATAAAAGAGATTTGGTATACCAATTTTCTATTTGCATTCATAGGCCTATGTCTTTATAAATCTATTGACTTATAATAATTGTTGTAATAATTTAACTAGGCTTTGAAGGTAGTTCTTAAATAATTGGTCCTATTGATTGATATTGGAGGTTGAAATAACAAATGAAAGTTGAAGTACTGTTACATCATAGACATAGAATCTTAGCAAAGTATGTTTAATCTATGATCTTAGTCAATTATTGCTTTTCCTTGGTTTCCTTTGATGAATTTCTTTTGCACTATTTAATATCACAGATAAAACATACTAGTCTATGATAATACATATTCACTATATCAGTAAAGCAAGTCTAAAATATATTACAGTTTTAGGTTTATCTTGAATGGAGATTTCTAATTTGGTTTTAATCGATTCAAACTTTTCCAATACATGAAAACTAGCAGCCTGTGTCACTTTGTGACTTCATATTCTGTGATATGTTTGATATAGTTAATAGGCCTAAGGGTGAAACGATCATCCCATATGATTTTCATTGTGTACGTGATCTCTTCGAGGCATCTTAGTAAAATTACAAATAATTGCTAATGAAACATCAGCTTAATTGTAAAAAGCTACTTAGTTTAGCCCCTAGACTTATCTAATGTTTTCAGGTAAGCTAGCTAAATTCAATTCTTTAAAAAAATTCTAACATAGCACATTAGTATAAGTTTTTGAAAGAGGCTAATACTTTTTCAAACTGCATAAAAGTTTATACGTTAATATCTTACCTCTGCTGTTGATTTTGATTTCATTATCATTGCCTGAAAAAAACAACAAATTTATGTTTAATTATGTGGCAAAATGGTTTTTTAAATACAGCAAAATAGCAGCTTGTACATTTTATTACTATTTTATCATCCATTTTCCTTCGGAATGATTGTTAAAGCAATTAATTTTCTGAGTAGAAAAAAATTCAATTTATAAAATAAATTAAAATTTAGCAGGGTAACATGAAATATAAAGCATTAGGACGGCTTTCGACTAATGGATCATTCAATTTATCACCATCCCTTCAATTTATTGTCTGAAATATGCGCAATATCTTACACATATTCACCTATAATAGCAAAGTTATTAATCATAAAACATATAATACCGTACTTTTGACTTTGGGCTCGTTTACCAGATTCTTCGCTACGGTACCATATTTTAAGCTATGGCATTTTACTTTGGGGACAGTGGTCAAATAGAACTTTGCTCCAACAATAGAAGGCACTAAGAATTTAAAAAAATTTCTAAGTACAGAGCCCATTATATAAACCCTTGTTCATTCAGAAAAAATACTTTCTGTTTTTAATTTATTTCTTTTGTATGTCTAGTTTATGTAAAAGTAAATGTCAATTCTGCACCTTTAAGATCACATTCACATAGTCATTTTAATAGACATAGGAATAATTTAGATTTCCAGTCAGGCTATAAGCAAGTCCCAAGAACATCTATATAATTAATACGCTACATGAAACTTTGTCGGTTGAACTCCTCCACCATTTCTTAACCGATTTTATCCATTTACGTCTCATTGGAAAGAGTGTGTCGCGTAGATTTGCAAACTGGCCTTACGTTTTTGAAAAAGCCCCTTGGGCTCTGCCCCAGTATGGCTTCGAAAGTTTCCATGTTATCCTTATGGAGAACATAATTGTTTACATTTTGATCAGCTGTATAATATTATTGCAGTACATTTATTTACTATTTGAGTTTGTGTAAACATAACCCCCAAGACGGATCGTGTTATTATGGCTGTACTGTATCTTAAATTTGTGCATTTATCGTGGTTTTGTGTAGCTATAATTTGTTTATTTCTTTTACATTCCTCCGACGCGACGACAACGAAACATAAGACAGGAGGCGTAGTCTAATCGTGATAACGACCGCAGCTACAGAACAGTGGCTTAACTCATCACAGTCAGCACCTGACCCTGGACAATCTCATCTTCAGGTTACCAATGCGCCCTAACACTATCCCAAAACGACTTTTCGTTCTCAATTGGCCCTCTATCAATTACCTGTATTGCCTGTACAGCGAGGCTTTTTGAGAAGGAGAAAACCGACCGGAATGCTTTAGGTTTATCAATAAAAAAGATAAAGACAACCTTATTTGGCTATAAGTCAGGAAATGTTTGTAGAAAACATTAAAAAGCAATACCAGTTTATGAAATATGATCAAATATTTACAGGAAATGTTTATTACCGTTATATACATCGTGAATTTCTCCATGAGCTACACACCGGTAATCTTTGAGTTAGACTCTTTTAAACTCATTGTAAATATGACCTGTGCAATTCGTTTTGAAATAACTCCTGCAATACTTTGCAATTGCTCGAATTCGAGCAACATGTACACTAGTTTTTATTATTTTGGTCAGAAATGGTTTTGCCAGCTAACCATTCCAAGCCGAAGCCAACCAACTCCATCTGACTGATGTTCATGTTGCATTCCTGTTTTACATTGTCTTTGGGAAATATCTTGTTTGTAGGCCCTAATTAATATACTGGTCAATTTACTGTAGTGAATCATTTGAGACTTTTTAAGCCTATTCATGTTTCGACTCCCGAAAGTACCGGTATACTCAAAGTCAAATCATCTTTATTCACAATATGCACACATAGCACATGAGAATAGTGTCAAATCAAAAACTTATGACTTTGACTAAGAATTTAAAAAATCCTCAAACGAGTATATTGGTTTGTGAAAAAGGTATTTTTTTAACATCTTCTTAAATTTATTAATGTTATTTTCAGTTTTTAACAAAATAGGAAGTCTATGTAGTTACTTTGCTTCAATATATAAAGGGGTTTTCATAAAATGCTAATCTATGGTGAGTGGGTATGACGGACGGTATTTTTATTTCATGTGTTATCATTATCAAACATATTCATTCCTTAGACACAGCATAATAGCCTATACAGCTAATGGCAATTAAGGGACCTACAGTTTATAGTGGAATCTGATCCACATTTTTGTCTTGCTATTAACGAATTGGTCTAATTATCAAATTTTCATCTATTTCCAACCCCAAAAATCTAGTTGACAGTTGACTTTTCAATTTCTATTAGCTTAGAATCAATTGCAATTGTGGGTTCAAACGTTCTCCTGCACTGAGCAGTCTCAAAGGAAACAAAATTACTTTTTGATGGATTTAATTTTCATTTATGATTGTTAAAAAAGTCTGTTAATTAAACTGATATGGCCAGAGTCAAAACGACCAGAGTGAGATAGAGCGAGGGAGAGGGAGGGTGGAACGTCGAGTTCGAGCCATCACATCAGCTGAGACGAGACTGGAGACGAAGATGGCTGGCATGAGGGATGGCGTGGGGAGTGAACAGTCCAATCAAAAATTCCTGCTGAAAATGTAATTTCTTAAACATAATAAGATCCTAATATTCATTTTAGTTTTTTTGAATATTAATATTTTTAGTCTAAAAACAATTTTTTTTATGAAAGAATAATTTTACTTTATTTATGTCAGTTTTTCTGCTTTGTATACTTGAACGCGTACCACCGTAGACGTCCATGCGTACCACCAATTGGGAGCCGCTGACTAGACTACTGTCTTTGTTTGGGATGAAAAGTTTTAAAATGAAGAGTAATCTAATTGAAATAATGTTGAACATCGATACTTATAATTTATTACTTAAAATGTTACTTTATTTTAGTACTTAATAATTAAATATAATACTACTGAGCAAGGCTTGCTCAGTAGAATTTTTCTATTACTAACCACATATAAACCTGTATCGGGTAGGTACTTACCATAAGGCAGCAGATTCCCAGAAATAGCTTCGCCATGCTAAAAGTGGAGTGGTTTAAGCAAATGATTCTTCCAAATATATACCAGGGTTCGTTGTACAATTAAGTATTATTATCGGCAATCAATATGTCAGCATTGCACACTTTCTAGGCCTGATAAATCGATAGATGACATCATGTATCAACTCGATATTTATACGCCAGCTCTAATAATTTTGCTGTGTGACTTTGGGTGTATGTCAGGTGTTTTTCGCTATTTAATTGCCAAATCATTGGTATATATCACTCACTGTCAAAAATGACGCAAACACATGTTTGACGCAAACACATGTTTGACGCAAAAACATGGTTGACGCAAACACATCGTTTGGTTCAAACTAAAATTAAATATTAACACCTTTCTTGTAATCTAGCGTTTCTAAAAAAAATTTGTCTAGCGACCCACCTACATCTTGGGTTTAATTTTGCGACCCAAAATTAAAAAAAAAAAATTAATTGCAAATAGATTTGTTAATATTATCATGTAAATCGTCTATTGCCACCTGTGGTAATAGCTCCTTCCCTAAAGGAGAAATATGCCTAGAACTAAAATATTTTCCAATTTGAAATAATCCTACTAATATTTTTAGTGAGAAAGTTTGGATGTATGGAAGGATGGATTAATGTTTGTGACAAGTAAACGCAAAAAATTCTAAGCTGACAGGGTTGGGGGTATGATGATAGCTCACATTCCCGATTAACATATAGACATATTCTTATCTAAAAAATCCTTTCGGATTCCGCCCCAGTGGCTCTGGAATTTCCCATGTTAACCTTATGAGTATTAATATTAAAAAGGAATTAAAGAATTTTATCAGCTATTTCACTTGCACAAGTTGGTTTTATGATATTAAATAGCATTAAAAAGTTATAAGGTTTACCTACAGAGTGCAGCACTATTATTTTTTTGCATTTATGACAACAGCTAATTTGAATCAACTAGCAACAAAAAGCTGTGGTACACAATGATAACTTTACTTTAGGAGGGAATGGACTTAATAACCAGCCTGTGTAAATGTAGGTGGATGTATTTAATTGTTTTTCTCTACTTTCAAACTTTTTTCAGTGCCTCAGACAAATTTAAGGAGCTTGGTTTTTTGAGCTTAGGTAGGTGGTTGGTTGGGAGAGCAAATTTATTTTACTCTCGATTGAAATTAACTGAAAGAAAGGTGAAGAAAAAAACCATGTATTTTAGGACAATTTATTACAACCGTCTTAGTACAACGAGCAAAAAAATTACAAAAATAAAGAGGTAAATAAGTATATTTTTTTTTACAAAAGTATAAGATATCAATTTTAGTGCAAAACTGTATAATGAAGAAACCTTTCAATAAATAAATAAATATATTATATCACATTTATTAGTCGTAATAATTTTACTGTGACCTTAAACTATGAATGGATACTGTACAATTCTGGAGTATAAGAATATCTTAAACATCAACAGCTGAATAATTCATCATAATTCATTGAGCAAGGATTTAATCATTGACTTTACACTCAAGTAGTACTAGTACAATAGTGTACTTCTCATCCTATTCTCAAACATGAAGCCTGGTTTTGATATGGATCAAAATGAATGTAAGAAAAGTGTATTTAGAATCCTATTATAATTAACATTATCTATCAACAATTATGATCTGATCAATTTGTTCTGGGAGTTTTACCTCAGTATCAGTTAAAAGCAACTCTAAAAACAGCAACTTTATACCGGTAGTTAAAATTCATTTTTATCAATTGTTTGAATATTTTATTTACAAAAGCAACAAGAGTATACCATACATTACTGTCAAAGATTGTACATGTCTTAATTCAACAACAGACTTCTACTAATACACAATAGTTGTTCATAGCACTATCCTATTTTTTGTCATTCATAAGATTATTCATTAACTAGATAACTTTGTATTGGCTTTGATTACATAATTCTATGAGTGTGAGGTTCACTTATTTAAACACCTTTAAAATTGCATCAAAAGTATTTAAGTATCACAACCCCTTTACTCCAATAAATAATCATCATAAAAGAAAATAAGTTAATGATTTCCTACCGACACCACTGCATGCACTAAAAATGTAGTGTATATAAATAATTTACCAATGGCACACATGAATATTTTAAGCTTACGCTAAAGAATCATCACATCTCTTTTTCAAACTCTCTAATCTCTAACATCTTTTTCTTTAAAACTAATACAAAAATATACTTCATAATCACAGTTTAGTGGTACAGTATTTCTAATGTTAATTTTCAATAGCTTTCAGATCATAATGGAACTACCTCTAGGTTGTCAATAAACAAATAAAGTTATAATTGCCTGCATTGATTACAGAAACATGTTCATGCTTCAGTTGGTTATCGTAGTTTACTTAACTGTCACGTACAGTACAGATAGTCTTTTAGGACACAAATATAAATTTTCTATGATCGTAAAGGCTAATTAAGAGAGTTGCTTACACTACCTACTTTACCAACAACCGTTTTTATATTACATTTGTGAAACTTCATTTTCATATTCTCTTTCTGTTACCAGTACTTTTTTTAGAGAGTTAACACAGCTACCACCATTCGTACTATAAATAGTGTTTCAGATAAAAGTAGACAAATATTACATATTTTTAGCAATAATGAATACATTGGAAAAGTTTATTTGCAACATTTAAATCAAATCAAACAAAATTATTAGATAAGTTGGCTTAAACTTTTCAAAGCATTACAAATTTACTTCTTTTCCCTCAATACTTGAACCCCATTGGTACACTTTACAACACTAGTGCTGTAAAGTAAGTAAACAAAGCAAATCTTTTTGCTAAAAAAATGTATATTAAAAATTTGGTTCAAATAATGGTTGTAGGTAAACATATTTTCATCTAACAGTTGAAGAGTGAAATTGAAAGGTTATCACAATAGCAACCACAACCAAATTCAAAAGGAAATTGTCATTGAAGTCCAATATTATTTTACAAAACTGACAATGTGCAAGAAAAGGACAAAAGGTATGAAGCTAGGGGTGAATACAGCTAAAAGGTGACAGCGTGATAATTCTTAATTCTTTGTTTGAAATTCATTGTTGGTGATGGTGAGTTAATGTTGTTCAAAGGTTCATTGCGGACATTTTCCATCACGATGGTAAAAAATAATACACAACGTTTTGGGATCTGGAATCTGATCCCATCCTAAGGTGAAAAAAACTTAACTAACACATTACAACTAACAATACACAAATGCCCAACCTAAGTTGGAATACACCACAGAAGGTAGCAGTAAAAAAATATGCACTGTATAACAGTCAAGTCATGATACAACATGCAAATAATAACCAATCACAAAACACTATAGTCTATAAAATACCTCAGTTTCAGTTCAGATTCAAGATCCAGAAACGTTGTGTATTGTTTTTTACCATCGTAATGGAAAATGAAAATGTCCTCATAAACCGTTGAACAACATTCTTAATTAATCCTAAAAGTTACGTATTTTAGTATTTTTTTTGTTGATTGTACTTTTGAAAACTTCTGACTAGCTCCACTATGATGTACATGCTGTAATACCCATATCCACCCCATTAAAACCAATATTAGGTTTTAACCTGAAGAGGGAATCCTTGGAGGCTGGCGGCCATGTTCGATTATTCCAAACAACTGTTGAAGGGTTATTTATCATCACATTTTTTTTTTAAAATACCAAATTGATTGTAATTTAAATATCTAGATCACTGTGGGATTTTGTTTCCTACTTTTGTAATTGTTTTATTACTATGAGTTATAATGTCTTAGGCTCCAAGGACTCTTAACTGGGATATAAAGTACTAACCACAGATTTTGTGTCCCATGACACAGCTGTAGTAACAGCAACAGCATAAGTTTTCTCTGATTTCTACATTGTCAACTTATACCTTATTTGATAACTATAAGCCAATAAGTATCAGTACCCTTGAACTGCAGGCTTGTCTTTGGACAAATGCATGTAAGTATAACACTGCATATAACTGTATAACTTACAGCAGAACCTCCTTAGTTGGACACTTTGTGAGCTAAGGGGGTGATGAACAATAGGGAGTATATTTGACTAACAGAAGGAGTATTTACAATTCGAGATAAAGCAAATATATTTAATGAATATTATAAAACTGGACAAAAATATAAATAAACAAAGGTATCAACTTACATCTTTACTGTACGTTCTTTGAGTTCTTACTGTATAAATAGTTTTTTATATTCAACAGCTTTTTACTTTAAAAGTTTGAAAAAAAGTAAATAATTGGGATAATTATAATATTGAGTTTTTCCATGCACGAAAACAATAAGGAGGCTCTATTAGTAGACCTTGGTAGACCCATCATCGGCACCTACCGACGTGTCATCAAGGCCCGTGTAAGACAACTGGGATTATTGAACTATATTGAAGTTCTACTGTAATGGGATGGAGATGTATTAGATAGATGTTACTTAGCTATTTTTAGATAATACAAAAGGTTAACTGCCATGGCCACTTCAGCTGTTTTCCTTCTGCTCTTTTCTTGTCACCTGCTTGGGTTATTTCATTGTTCTGCATTTAGATTGTTGGCACTAAATAGCAGTGAAACTTGTACATATTTCCAAGAGGATGTCACAATCAGTTTAGCATGATATTCTTATTCTACTTGATCAAGTTACTTGACCCAATCAAATCGGCATGGCAGCTAACATTGTTGACAAGTTAAACCATCTATTCTATATATAAATAGTTAACAATTTGCATTTATGTGTGTTCCTTATGTTAAATGTATGATTCTAATGTTATGTGCTTAAACTGCACCATTTATATTAGCGAGTAAAGTGGTGTATGGATTTCATAACCATTATTTTACTAGAGACCGTTGTATTTAACCACAACGGGCACTGTTGCTAGTGTTCACATAATTTTGATTTGATTCATTGATGTGGAAAACTAAAAAAAAATTACAAATCATTTCCTTTAATGTGAATCTTGGTGTGGTTTTGAAACTCATACTTAGACTTAATCAATTTCTTACAAACCCCACATTTAAAGAGACGATCATTGTGCATATTTTTCATGTGTAATTTCAAATTTCCTTTGGTGGTGTACATACTTCCACACATACCACAGTTTACATATTCTTTCGCATGCATTCTCATATGTGTGCGATAGTTGCTATTTTGACTAAAGGTCTTGCTACACTTCTCACATTTATAGGGTTTTTCGTTGGTGTGAACACATCGTATATGCATCACTAAAGAAGAGGAGTGTTTGAATTTGGCCTTACATTTCTCACACTTGTAAGGTTTGACATCATCATGAACACGTTTATGCAAGGTTAACGAACTATTTTGAGCAAACGCTTTTCCACAATGACAAACAAACGGCTTTTCATTTGTGTGAGATCTCATATGCAGCTTCAGATTATAATTACGAGCAAATTTTTTGTTGCAAAGACCACATGAAACATGTTGTCGCTCGTGTGTGCTATTTCTGTGATGCTTTAAATGAAACAACGAGAAAAAATACTTGCCACAATCTTGGCACTGAAAACTTTTCACACCGGAGTGAGTTTGCTTGTGATGTTCCAGAGATTTCAGTCTCTTGAATGTCTTGTTGTCACATTGGTCACACTTGTAGGGGCGTTCTTCTGAATGTGACGCCATGTGCACTTCCAAGTGGGATTTTTGACAGAAAGCTCTTTTACAAACTGCACAATGGAAGTTTAGCAAATCTTTGTGCTTCCGAATGTGTGTCTCCAAATATCTTTTCAGACGAAACCTTTCTCCGCAATCTGAGCATTTAAAAGTATAAGTTTCATGAGAACAGTTATATTTTTCATGAATTGTTAAAAGGTTTTTAGTTTTAAAACACTCACGGCAGTGAATGCATCTAAACATCCCTTCCTGCACTTTGCAAACATGAGTTTTGAAATTTTCGTCTGAAAATGTCCTGAAGCAATTATTGCAATGTTTGGTGCTTGTATAAGGACAGGAGTGAGTTTTCAACAGGGTTCTACTCCTGTAACATTGATTGCATTTATCACAAACAAAAAAAGTACAACTTGAATATTTTAGTTGGTTCTCTTCATCAAAATCCCTGCCATTACTGTTTGTCTCGGAAGAGGTACTTTGCTCATCGTCATTATCAAAGGGCTGAAAAAAATCTTTATGTTAGTTTACAATACCATCAATTTTGAAAACGTAATATAAGTCATTTGTTTGAATTCAACAAAGTTAAACACTGTTTTGCTAATTTTATTGTTTATAATACATAAGATTACAAAACATTGCTGTTGATCATTAGGCTTTAAAACTTAACTGAATTCAAGCCAACATAAATATTTCTTTCTGCACATTAAATCAAGGACTGTGTGGTTTTGCAAAGAATTTTCCAAAATACTGCGAATCTCAGATGACCTATTTTGTGTTGTATACATGTAATAACACCATTTGAGAAAATAAATTTGATTTTAGCGAATTTCCCCTATAGGGAAGTAGCTATTACCGTAGGTCTCATGATAAGTCATAGACCCGGGACCGATTTACTTTTTCATTTTGATGTCCCCCAGAGGCCAAAAACACTATTTGTTAAAAATTTGATATATGTATATTGGCCTATGTTTATATACAGGGTGTTCATTTGAAAACTTTCCATATCTGTTGTGTGCAAAGGTAAGGCTTTTAACACTTGTTTGTTCTCATTTCCCCCTAATTTGGACATGCCAAATCCAATAAAGTTATTTTCAATTTTGAAAAATGCGCCAAAAGGGCCCAATTTGGGGGGTAGGGGTGCTTTTTGAGAAATTTTCAAATGTAAACATGGGTTGTGTGATACATCAATTTAAAGCTCTAATCACCCCGATCATTTTGGTGCAAAAAAAGTTTAATTATCTTTACCCGTATTTACAGGGTGGGTCAAAACGTTTTAAAAAAAGACTTTGAAGTTAAGTACCGTATTACCCTAACTACTGAACGGAACAGCGCCAAATTTCTTTCCAAGCTTATTCTTGAGCTACTCTTTAAGATAACTTGTAGTAAGGGCATTTTCCAAGTTATTTTCTAATTTTTAAAAAATCTCAAATTTTAAGAATAAAAGAAAGCTGAAAACTCAAAATTCTTAAATAGCAAGGTATAACAAATTTCATACCACGTGAAAGGTCCTTTTTTAACAAACATTTTACGTATTTAAGTTTTCTTTCTATCTCTTACCGTTTAAAAATTGCAGTAGAAAAACATAATTTTCTGTGGTAAAATTGCAACTAGTTTTCTAATAAAACAGCCAAAATTCGTCTCTAGACACATTAAATGGTGCAATAACTGAAGGAAACAATTCATAATTATTTTTAGGCAGATAGGCAAACAAGTCATTACGTTTTACTTTGTGAGAAACAAGTTTTATAGCTGATGAGAAAAACCCAAGCGTGGGCCGCTTTCTGTAGTACCATTGACTAGTCAATGGTAGTACTAATTTCAAAAGTACCATTTCCTGTAGTACCTAATCAAATATGGTGTAAACTTAAAAAAATATACTTTATTTTACTTATTGGTCATAACAAAAGTGTTCCAGGATAACTGCAAAGTGTTTAACAATAGATATCCAGGTATAACCTTGAGTCATATGGCTGTAAATGATTTAGTTAGGAAGTTTTCTGAAACTGGCTCAGTTACCAATGAGAAAAGAACAGGATGAGGGGTCCAAGATGAATTCTGACACACATAAAAGTAGTCGATCAATTTGTTATGAATCCTACTACATCGTTGAACAAAGTGCAATGTGTTTTATTAGAAAACTAGTTATAATTTTACCATGTAAAATTATGTTTTTCCACTGCAATTTTTAAACGGTAAGAGATAGAAAGAAAACTTAAATACGTAAAATGTTTGTTAAAAAAGGACCTTTCACGTGGTATGAAATTTGTTATACCTTGCTATTTAAGAATTTTGAGTTTTCAGCTTTCTTTTATTCTTAAAATTTGAGATTTTTTAAAAATTAGAAAATAACTTGGAAAATGCCCTTACTACAAGTTATCTTAAAGAGTAGCTCAAGAATAAGCTTGGAAAGAAATTTGGCGCTGTTCCGTTCAGTAGTTAGGGTAATACGGTACTTAACTTCAAAGTCCTTTTTTAAAACGTTTTGACCCACCCTGTAAATACGGTTAAAGATAATTAAACTTTTTTTGCACCAAAATGATCGGGGTGATTAGAGCTTTAAATTGATGTATCACACAACCCATGTTTACATTTGAAAATTTCTCAAAAAGCACCCCTACCCCCCAAATTGGGCCCTTTTGGGGCATTTTTCAAAATTGAAAATAATTTTATTGGATTTGGCATGTCCAAATTAGGGGGAAATGAGAACAAACAAGTGTTAAAAGCCTTACCTTTGCACACAACAGATATGGAAAGTTTTCAAATGAACACCCTGTATATATATATAGATATAAACCCCAGACCACTTCCAACATTGTTAGGTAGTAAATACTTCATTTTGACAAGGTGGTCATTTCCGGCCGCCATCTTGGATTCACCATATTGGATGCAAAATATTTTTTTTCAAATCTAAATGTGGGGTTGTGACCCATTATTTCGAATTAAATTTTTACCCTGATTAGAATGACACAAACTGTTCTTAAAAATCTTGATCCATTCCAAAGTTACGAGGGCTTATTATAACTTTACTAGCAGTTACCCAGCGTGCATTGCTGCGCTTAACAACTATTATTTTAAATGGTAATTTGTTCTTTACGATGAATAATAAAAGTGTATATCAAAAATAAAAATAGAATATTTTACTTAATTGCCAGTGCTAACGATGTTACGCCACTGTGTGGTATTATGTAATCCTTAGTAAGATTTCTAACTACATAGCTGTACTGTGTGAGCTAATCTTGTTTTCTATGACTCCGACTCCAAGAACCGTATTTTGAGGTGTAGATGAGTGAGGGATGAAAGTTGAAAGGATTAAGTAAAAGGTTTGATACTGACTGAAATCATAAACCATAAACAGCAAGACTTTTTCCAGGGTAGCACTGGCTAACTTTTTTAGTAGAGTACTACATCCAAACAGTTACGGTTCATGTTTATGATCAATAACGTTTCTGTTCTCATATCTGTGGTACTGTCTAACATAATTTCAGATCCCTAACGTCAAAAAATTGTTCATGTTTGTTTAGTAAAAGAACCACAAATGATTCCTAAAATATCAGAAATGTTTACATACCTCCGCATTGTCTTCACAGTGATCTTCATCGTTTACTTCCATCAACTCCTTCATGCATTCATGAATTTCACGCATTTCACCCAGTACAACAGGGACTGTCAATTGATCAACTTCTGACTTCATATCCAATATAACTGACTGGACACATTTTCTCTGTACATAAAACAACAATTTATTCAGAATTATTGAGGATTATCTGAGACCTCAACACATTGTACGATGAAGTTGTATCTATTTAGCATCTTTTCTCGAGGCACTCTCATCCTTGATTTCATAAGAGCGCAGAGGCATTAAGACACAAGCGTAACTTACCTAGCTATTATATGTTATTAGTAAAAAATATAGTTGAATGAGCCACTCCCACAGTGAGCTATTGTCCAAATTCCTTATCTTCCTTTGTTTTTGATGCTCTGTCAGTTTTGACAATACATAAAATGATATAGTTTACAGTAAGTTGATCTTTCAGATTGTATTGACTCTTGACTGAACAGTTTGTGTGCCAGAAATCAGTAAATGACATCAGGTCAATCTGTCGGAAGTTTAAAAATGGTCACATCTCTTCAACATGCAAACATACTGGCTAGTCAAATACATACTCTAAGTCACTACCACATCTACTTCCTACAAAACTAAATTCTGTTTATGTATTCTTATATGCATTAGGAGGTGAATAAAAATTTTTTTAATTTTACTTGAAAATTGAGGAAATGGTTAAACAACAAAAGGACAATTTAAAGATATGAAGATCATATTCTATTAAACGTTTATCAATGTTTAAAGCAAAAATTTGTTTAGGCCGGTTTCTTAAAAAGCATGTGTTTTCTCTCACAAAAAGACATTGAGTAAAACACTTAATAAACACACCTACTATAACTAGGCTACTGAATAATGAAAAAAGAGTTTTGTCTAAATAACCTTGGCAAAGGTATGGAGTACTAGAATATTGAAACGCTTAGCATACATTTACGTTCCCTGCTGATCCCTGTAGTTTTCAAGACAATCTGTTTTTGTAGAAAACTTTGATTGTAGTTGTTAGCCTCCGGATTGCCAAATAATATTATAAAAGGTTTAAATACCTGCTATTAAGCAATCCAATTTTGTTGTTGACACAACTAGTTTCGGTGTCTGTGTGACACCATCATCAGGCTGTACAAGGACAGTTTTCTTTCTTCATACGAAGAGCGTCATATTTACACGAAAATAATAAATAAACATTTAAACACGACACAAACACGAATACGAGACATTTATGGTAACTGATCAGTTAAGAAAACAGACGACGCTAACCCGACGGAGTTTGAGTCCAGACTGCGGGTGGTCAGTGCAGTGGTGTACGTCCGTTATCTTATCATCCCAGGTTGCGTCCTGTCAATCACTCAATCACACCTCCCCCTCCAGTAAACCGATGGCGGTGTCATACATAAAATTAGACGAGAAAAACTGTTGGTCATTTAGTACATTATGGTGGTCGGATTTTACTGCCTTATATATCTCGAACTCTTCCAATGTGTTAATTTTATATCTGTCTTTAGAAAAATGTAGAATATCCATATTGCTGCTAATGTTGGTATAATTGTGGCCTTGGGATATTAAATGCTCGGCAAAAGATGATGTTTGGTGGGCTGTTGATGCTTTTGGAATATGCTCTTTGAATCTTTTTGTAAAGGAACGTGCTGTTTGGCCGATGTAATATTTCGTACAATCGGTACAATTAATCTTGTAAACGCCAGATTTATCAAAAGATTGCGTCATCGTGGGGCTGCGTTCCTTTAACAATGAACCAAGCTTGTTTTCTGTTCTAAAGGAAACAGTGATTTTGTTTTTAGCCATGAGATTTTTGTATTTATTGCTCATAAAGGTGCCAAATTTTGCAGAGATGAAATTGTTCTGTTTATTTACAGGAACTAATAATAAACAGAACAATTTCATCTCTGCAAAATTTGGCACCTTTATGAGCAATAAATACAAAAATCTCATGGCTAAAAACAAAATCACTGTTTCCTTTAGAACAGAAAACAAGCTTGGTTCATTGTTAAAGGAACGCAGCCCCACGATGACGCAATCTTTTGATAAATCTGGCGTTTACAAGATCAATTGTACCGATTGTACGAAATATTACATCGGCCAAACAGCACGTTCCTTTACAAAAAGATTCAAAGAGCATATTCCAAAAGCATCAACAGCCCACCAAACATCATCTTTTGCCGAGCATTTAATATCCCAAGGCCACAATTATACCAACATTAGCAGCAATATGGATATTCTACATTTTTCTAAAGACAGATATAAAATTAACACATTGGAAGAGTTCGAGATATATAAGGCAGTAAAATCCGACCACCATAATGTACTAAATGACCAACAGTTTTTCTCGTCTAATTTTATGTATGACACCGCCATCGGTTTACTGGAGGGGGAGGTGTGATTGAGTGATTGGCAGGACGCAACCTGGGATGATAAGATAACGGACGTACACCACTGCACTGACCACCCGCAGTCTGGACTCAAACTCCGTCGGGTTAGCGTCGTCTGTTTTCTTAACTGATCAGTTACCATAAATGTCTCGTATTCGTGTTTGTGTCGTGTTTAAATGTTTATTTATTATTTTCGTGTAAATATGACGCTCTTCGTATGAAGAAAGAAAACTGTCCTTGTACAGCCTGATGATGGTGTCACACAGACACCGAAACTAGTTGTGTCAACAACAAAATTGGATTGCTTAATAGCAGGTATTTAAACCTTTTATAAGAAAACTTTGAATTCAATCCATCAGTATTTTTAGGGATTCTAACTCAAAATTTACCCACCATTAACTGATTTTTCCCTTCTTGAACAGCAAGTTCTATCTCTTGATTTCTATTAAGCTTGACAACTGGAGTCAAGTTCAATATACATTTTGAACTGACGCTTTGAAAAATATTTGGACCCTCCTGAAACAAATTTTTTTGAATAAAAACAATGACAAATAGTAAAATAGCATAATTTAATAGCAGAATAGGTTATTGAAATTGAATAACCTTGAGTGTTTCTGCAAAAACATTTTGATTAATTTAGAGGGTTATCTAAATTAAGATTTCGAGGAGCTCCCTTGGCGACGAAGGAAGTTACTTCAAATCTAACACTAGTGCCATGTTCCGTACATCCCCATCAATATTCTCTAGTCATTCCCCATCTCTATATGTCGCGATCAATATCCGATGAGACTGTTGGGAAAGGATGCTTTGGAAGGAATTAAAGAATTTTGCTAGCTGTTTCAACTAAACAAGTTCGTCCTATGATATTTAATAGTATTACAAAATTACAAGGTTTACCAACAACGCCTACCTAAGCAAAACTCATGGCGACCGTTGTTGCTCAGTTTTTTTTTTTTTGCATTTATGACAACAGTTAATTTAAACTAAGCAGCAACAAAAGGCTATGATACACAATGAGAACTGTCAAAGTCTGTCAAAGTGGTATAGTTTACAGCTATGTTTATGATTTTAATTTAATAAATAATTTGTGATATTGTGCGAATGTTTGATAATTTACTTTTTCTATTGTTGAGGAAGGAAGTTACGTCAAATCTAACACTAGTGCCATGTTCCGTACATCCCGATCAATATTCTCTAGTCATTCCCCATCTCTATATGTCGCGATCAATATCCGATGAGACTGTTGGGAAAGGAAGTTACTTCAAATCTAACACTAGTGCCATGTTCCGTACATCCCCATCAATATTCTCTAGTCATTCCCCATCTCTATATGTCGCGATCAATATCCGATGAGACTGTTGGGAAAGGAAGTTACTTCAAATCTAACACTAGTGCCATGTTCCGTACATCCCCATCAATATTCTCTAGTCATTCCCCATCTCTATATGTCGCGATCAATATCCGATGAGACTGTTGGGAAAGGAAGTTACTTCAAATCTAACACTAGTGCCATGTTCCGTACATCCCCATCAATATTCTCTAGTCATTCCCCATCTCTATATGTCGCGATCAATATCCGATGAGACTGTTGGGAAAGGATGCTTTGGAAGGAATTAAAGAATTTTGCTAGCTGTTTCAACTAAACAAGTTCAACTAAACAAGTTGAGGTGCAGTGGTAGAATATTATGGGCTATGGCTATCGTAGATGTGTTATACTATAGCGGTACCGTAAATTTAAAGAACCAAATCTTCTCAAACCGTGTCCTCTCCCATTGCAAACGCACAGCACGAGTATAACTGCAATAAGTATTTTATACTTATACGACAACCCCGTACGAAGGACGGGTACTCTGCTGGTCCAACTATATTACTGGAATAAAATGGATGAATTTTACTTAGGTGTTGCTATGGGTAAAAATAATAATAATAGGCGTCTAGGCAGCCAGTCCAACTCCGAGGATCATGGATCAGATCGGAAACCCCCCAATACTGCTCCGTGCCGATGGCGTGACGTCAACCATTACCGCAACGATACGGAGCCAAGTAATGAGCCTTGGTGGTGTAGTGGATAGCGTGTTGGGCTGATAACTGAAAGGTGCCGGGTTCGAATCCGGCTGGCAGCAATAACTTTTTGTCAACAATCTTTTTCATTTCAGCAAGTTTGGTTGGTTTGGTTAGGTTATGACAGTTTAATTTTATAATTAAAAATTATAAAATTTAATTTGAGACATTTATATTTTATTTTTAGAACAGAACTATTTTTTCGATCAGTAAAATATTTATTCGAGTTTTTCATTATCAGCAAGTTTGGTTAGTTTGGTTAGGTTATGACAGTTTAATTATTTTTAATTTAAATTTAACCTACAAACGATACGTTTTGACAGGGACAGTGATAGAGATAACAATTTTGCGCGAACAGTTAGGCTATGCTGATGCGCCGGTATGATTCGGAAGCGTACAACATGGTGCGGTGGTGGGGGGTGTAGTTCTGATCCACGATCCTCGGAGTTGCACTGGCTGCCTAGACGCTTGTTTGCTATGGCTATAATGGTTATTGATGGAGATTACTTACAACACTAGGAATACAAACTTTTTAAAACCCTTTTGGAATAGAGTTTTTCTGACTTAGTTTTCTCCAAAATGTAGCAAACAATTATTATTGCTATTTGTCATTGTATAATTTCAAAAACACTATTCGACAAAAGCTTTGTTTTCAGGCTAACTAGAGTGGTTTTCAGGGATTTATTGAGGAAGATAGTTTTTTATTACAAGGGATTCAGATGATAATGTACAGAACAATGTGAAAAAAATTATTTTAAGTTGGTGTTCAGTGCAAATTGACCTTGCCACTCTTGTACTAGGCTGTGCCTTTACATTAATAATGACTGATGATACCAACTGTTTGTGACGCTCGAGCTAATGTAAACCAGATTTTTGGAAGCACGAAAAAACAAAATCAACTGTTTGGTTCAACACAGCTCGTTGCTTAACAAGGGAGTAAATGTTTAAACATGTTGTTTCTATATTTTAATCCGTTCCCAAGAATTACTACTTTAACTATGTTGCAAATAGTTTTTTGTCCTTGTGGTAAAAAAAGTTTCTTTTGTGGAGCAGTATTTTAAGGACCAAATAGTAATTCCTTCAATATAAAATAAAACCTATAACCTCACATATGAAAAATAAAGACCCAACCTTAATACATATATAACACATCAATAATACATCAATGAGTGATGTAAGTTTAAATATCCTTCTTAAGGATATGAGTAGAAGTCAAATTCCCATGGCCAATTAGATGCTTGATTCTTCTTCTAAAACTGTTGCAAATGAAAATCTAAGTATTTCATTTGGTAAGGCGATTCTTTGCGTCAAATTTATGGGCGTCAGCACAGAATACATACTAACTATAACCCAGAATGCTAACCGCATGGTAAAAAAGCATTAAGTACTCGGGGAGAGAGCTTTGCCTGTCAATTTGTAGGCAACGCCACCAGAGCATAGCAACTATAGTGTGTTGGCTAGGGGTGAGATATTCACCTCGGATTTGCGTCATTGTGTTTCTTTTGACAAGCCCTTCAAAATGAGGGGTCACTCAATAGGGGTTGCTATTTGAAAAAAATAAGTCACCCCCTACCCCCTACCCTATTAGGGGGGGTTATAACATTTTTTGGTGTAAAAAAATAGTGGAACCTTTGTTAAGAACAAACTTTGCTACAAACAGAATATTTCTATCTCTATTTCGATTTTAAAAATACAGATGTTTCAAGACTTAATTTACACACTGTATATATAAATCTCTCTCTCTATATATATATATATATATACATAAATAAAAATTTGAACGTATAGTGTTTTTGGCCTCTGGGGACATCAAAATGAAAAAGTAAATTGGTCCTGGGCCTAGGTCTTACCGTGCCACCTACAGTAATAGCTACTTCCCTAGAGGGAAATTCGCTAATGCTTTGGTTTCCTAGACGCCTAATAGATACGCTGCCACTTTTATCCAGGTCCCAAAACGCAGCCGTCGTGAGTGGTTTCCAAGACTGCGTACAATACACACGGTTGGTGTGTAACATAAGTTCACGGGAGGGTTTACTAGTGGCTACTATGATTTTATAGGATGATTTAGATATAATGAAATAGATACTTTGGTACTAAAAGCTTTGAAGAAGCGTAAGCAGTGAAAAGTACATGATTAGGAACTGTATGTGGCCTCACGGATGTTTTAACCGTAGTATTAAAGCAAACATTTCAATTTAAAATGTAAACGATAAATCTTAATTTACCCTCTCCAGCTTTTACTGTTATTATATTTACCTATTCGGGATTTACCGAATAGACGAAAATACATTTTACGAGTGTAACTGCAATAAGCATTTCATACTTAATACTTATACGCCAACCCCGTAAGAAGGACGGGCACTCTGCTAGTAATTAATATAGGTTTATTACTAAGATGTTCAGGAGTTCTTAAAATAATTATGGGGGCTCTTATATTTTGGAATTTGGTGTTGTGCTGACTTGAAAAGAATATTTGTAAACATTTGGTTTATTTACAAATTACAGCAATTAGAAAATATGTGAGGACAAATCAATTGTAGGGATTTAATAAGGGAATTAAATATTTCACATTATGGGGAAATTAACACTACATATCGAATCATATGAAATGTAATACTATAAAAATTTTAATTGTATGAACAACGTACTTCCATAATATGTCATTACAAGAGACAAATTCAATCAATTTTTCGTTGTTGTTGGGAATTTTGCCTTCTGGATAACATTTACTTCCGAATCCATTGCACAAAGACATGTCTAAAACGCAGCGTAACTCAGATTCGACTGCTCTGAAAGCAGTCGGTCAAAAACGCAGCTATTGATGCACGCTTATTAGATGCGCGCGCGTTAGATACGCAGCCTTGGAAACCGCTTACACGAAACTCCATAAGACAAGTGTGCTGCGTCTTAGATGCACACACGCAGTGCATCTATTACGCGTCTAGGAAACCACAGCCTTAAATGAGCTTCCAAATTTACAATGGGATGAGAAGTCTACTCGTGTGTTGGTTAGCCTATGGTCTAGATTATTGTGCTATCATTTTTTTTTTGCTGCAGAATGACTAAAAGACTATTTCTACTAACAGTTTTTATATGAACTTAAATAATTAAGCTCAACCATGTACTTTAACTAATCAATACATACATCTTCTATTTTCGTTGGTATTTTGATTTCCTTTGTAGTTTTTAGTTTGACAAAGCATTGTGATAAGTCACCCCAGTCAGCATCAGTCTTTAGTTTGATTTCCTGAAAAATATTCAATATATGATGATCATAAATACAGTATGGTAATGTAGCTTGACTACCTACCCTATTTCTACTTTAATACTTTAATTTGTTCAAACTATACACCAACACAATTCAGTCAGGAGTTAGCCCAGTCAATACAAGTTTTGTGTCGGAACAAATTAGTGACAAGCAAAACTATATACCACTGGATAGTACACATAAGGATGTACATTTTACCAAAAGTCCCCTAAAATCCCCCCGATGCTTTCCCCCCACCCCCCCTCAAAGTCAGGAATTGCAAGGTTTTACTAAATCACTCATATATCCTATATGGCTCATTTGATTACAATAATCTTCAATTGATTGTATTCCTTAATACATTGTCTAGATCAAAGTTCCTTTACACTTTTGTGATAAATCCAATACTTTCTTCAAAATTAAATTATAAATAATATAAAATTTAACAAACGCTTACGCTGATATTTTAGTTTTTCTGCCGTAGTTTTTTTATTAGTAGAAAAATTGAAAAACACTTCCTTTAAAGGTTGTAGAGCATGTCTTTCTGAACACTTTCATATACATAAGTATATGAAAAAAAAATTAACATAGGCTTTATGGGACGCCATGCTTGTGACGAAATAACAACAAAATATAAACAGAAAAACAAAACAAATGGAGGAAATTCCAATTACATGTTTTATTTACAGCGTTGGGTGAGAATAGAGAAGTCTGTACATTACATACATATTTTTAGTTGAGTCTTCAACCACTGGACGACCTCTAGCACAAATAAATATATAGGTAATTTTTGTTTATTTCTGAATTATAAAAAAAATTTAAAGTCAAATTGAGAAATCAGTATTCCGATCTGGCGGAAATTAATAGCAATGAATATCACGGACCTCGTACCCACCCTTAAATAATACATGTAATAAACTTATTTAGTATTTACATTTATTAACTTAAATGAAAATATTGACTCGAGTGTTTATGATCTTACTCTCATCTTGAATCAGTGTGTCGTGGAATGATTCTACCTACGTCAATTAACCTTTTAGTTTACTAAATATTTTTGGTTTTATTGTTCTGTTGGGGCAATCTTTTCCCTAGTATTTCGTCTTTTTTGTTGTTATGTAGGCTTTTTATGATAATGTATTACATAACTATTGCTCATCTTCGTCTTGGTCTTCTTCAATACTTGCTGTATTATGGCAACTCAGTCTGTTATAAAATGCAATTTACTAACAGGGGGAGGCAGTGCTATAGTTCGGCCGCTTATAAAACTACCTGTGCGCTAATGCTAAACCAATGCTAGAGGAGGTCGCTTTCTAAGCGGCCAACTATACTAACATAACTGGTCTATGAACGTACCAACAACAAAGACTTGTTGTTTTCAATACATTTTCGCAACAACACAAAAACAATATCATGACCAGCATCTTCTTCAGCAGTGTGTGTCGTGATGCTGCGCTTTTTTATCTTCATTGGCACTGCCAGCAACGAATCATTTTGCATTATTAAAAAAAAAAAAAAAAGATAAAAAAAAAGATTTTTTTTTTAAATTGGACATCTCGATATATTACTTAAAGCCCTTCTAAGTTGCTCTTCGTGCTTAAATTGTTGGATGATCTGGAAATCCGTCAAACAGCACAAGTGTCACATTTTGATATAACATGGTTACATTAGTTATTTATGTCTTCATAGGTAGAATTGCCGGGCCATTTTAACTAGTGCCCCTGTTGCTTGAAATCGAGCAATTGCAAAGTATTACAGTTGTCACTTCAAAACCAATTACCCTAGTCATAATTTACGATGTAAAAGAGTCAACTCCAAGATAATGTAATCAAGCACTCCACTCCAGTTATCGAAACTGAAAACGAACTCACTCTGAAGACGATCGCTCTTGCGTGTATTATGTGTTTAGGTTTACTATGAACACTGAACAGCTGTAATTAATACAAATTATTCGTCTGTTTGAGTAAACATCTTTTCTTCATAAGAAATACATTGGGATTTTGATGGCTTGTGGGGCAAAGTCCGAGGTGTTTTATGACTGGAATTGGTGAAATACGGAATTGGTCTACACAAAAAGTACTTTATTTTGACACATCGTTTGTAAAAATACGTTCATTATTAATGGACGAGTAGTGTTTCGTAGAAGTCGCCTTCACGTGTATTCAATATAAGGATGGATCGAGAATCAACAATGTGGGACGATTCAATTGTATATGTATGGTCATCAATTCTGCAATCAAATACTTTGTTCCTTTTTTTTATGGAAACATCATCAAAAGAATCTTTAATAGTCATTAAGTGGCCAGTTACATACGTAAACTATTAACTTATATTGAAAGTAGCTGTGACTTCTATTTGAATTAACTGTGACTTCTCGAGACCTAATTTTTACCTTTTGTCTGTTTCGCCTGTGTTTTTAACTTGTCTCTCCTTGTAGGTGAAGTTCACCAAAGTTGTTTTTATGTATTTTCTCCAAAGCTGTTATACCCATGGTGGAAGTAAATAAGGTGTGCTACTCAGCCGGACGAGTTTGAGACCGTTCTGCGCATCGTGACGTGACGTCACCTCGGGGGCAAACCGCTTCGCGCGCGTATATAGCTCAGCATGACACTGCTCTATTAACATCAACATTTTGAACTGTTAGAATTGAGGAAAAATTATGAAACTTGACATGGACATCAATTATAAGTGGACGATGCGTGTTGTGAAAAAATAGTTTGTAATTGTTAAAAACTTAAGCGTTATTTACTTCCACCATGGTTATACCTACGTCGTATGATATCAGTTGAGAGATCAGAGAAATATCCAGATGCTAACGATATTAGCTCTTGCGAGCTTCAAGTCCACTTACTGTAGGTTTTATTTTAGCTTCTCTTTTTCTTGGCTCTTGGGTCTCAACATGCTGTTCAGAAAAAGCCAACAAAGTCTCATGGAACTCCTGTGAAGCTACGTGGACTTTGAAACAGTATGGGATTCCATGTACCCTCTTTTAGAACGTGCTACATATCTGTTATGCCTCGCCCATGTGTAAATCCACCAAAAGACATCATTTGACTATCTTTTGGAATATTTTTATTCATTAGCTCAAATAATTTTTTTTATCGATTTACAAAGAGATAAGCCATACGCATACTGACATTTGAAACAAATTAAAAGTAATGCAATAGTGGGAGTTTTGTTAACAATTATATCAAGAAATAATATGTTTAACACTACAGCTAATGTAATCTCTAACAATCTATATATTAATATTAGTTAAAAACTCGTTAATATAAAGTTTATACTGCATAAACATCTCATCCGTACCTTACTGTGGGTCGATCACTTTACTCGCGGATATCAGGCGGCAAGGCGCGGCCGCGTCGCCGAGGCTCAGACGCCCATCTACTTGAGGCGTTCCCCTGCCCATGAATATATCGGAAACCTATACTTATATATACTGTATATGAAAGTGTTCAGAAAGACATGCTACAACCTTTAGAGGTAGTGTTTTTTGATTTTTCTTCAAACAAAAAAACTACGGCGGAAAAACTAAAATATCACCGTAAACCGTAAACATTTGCTCAATTTCATTATTTATCATTTAATTTTGAAGAAGGTATTGGATTTATCGCAAAAGTGTAAAGGAACTTTATTCTAGACAAATACAACCAATTGAAGATTATTGTAATCGAATTAGCCATATAGGATATATGAGTGATTTAGTAAAACCTTGCAATTCCTGACTTTGAGGGTGGTGGGGGGAAAGCACCGGGGGGACTTTAGGGGATTTTTGGTACAATGTACATCTTTAAGTGTACTATCCAGTGGTATACAGTTTTGCTTGTCACTGATTTGTTCCGACATTGGTGGATTTTGTGTCTTTATTGACTGGGCTAAGTTGAGAAACAGAAACTACCAGTTAAGCTGACGTGGTAGACAGTATGGCTGCAGACCTGGTAGATCCACTACATTGACCTCACCAAAGATTTTGATTGCATCCCTTTTGATTTCTTGATTAAGAAGCTTCAATCTGATGGAATTAGGGGCAACTCATTACTCAAATCACATCCAACCAATAGATCACAGTTTGTTTGTGTTACAGGTAAAAATTCATCAGTTACACAAATCAAGGCCGGTGTTAGGCAGGGCTCTGTCCTTGGCCCTTTTCTTTTTATTGTAGCCGTAAATGATCTTCCTCGTCATTTACCTGAAAATGTACAATCTATGCTGATGACACAACAATCTTTGCTGCCAATAGAGATCTAAACCTTCTTGCCCACACAATTCAGGATGCGAATAATCATTCTTTGAACTGGTTTTCCTCTAATCAACTTATTTGCAATGTAAGTAAAACTCAAAGCATAATATTTTCTCTTTTACAAAACCTACCTGACAATTCAGTCAAACTTCTGGGAATTTGCCTTGATAGCAGATTAAACTGGAAAATGCATATTACAAGAAGTTGTCAAGAGTCATTTATCTTTTTTGGAAACTTAAACCTCTTATCAGCATAGAGTACCTGAGATCAGCATATTTAGGCTTGTTTCAATCTCATTTGCAATATGGTCTTAATTTATGGGGTCACTCATCACACATTTATGATGTACTTTTGCTACAAAAGAAAAAACCACTCTTTGTAAAATATCACAATTGCACAGTCATCAACCTATACATTTACAATGTCTTGACGTACACAAAATGTAATTTACATAAATTTTAAACTCGTGTAAACTCACTTTATAATATTCATTTAGGCTAGGCCTATTCTATAAATGTTTAAAGTTAATAAGTTGACAAAGATATATGAATTACAAAAGGTGTTTTATTTAAAACAAATGAACAATTAACATGCAATGAGAAAAGGCTTGACGTTACAATGAAAGGATTGACAATGGTGTGTGGGGTTGAAATTAAATTGAAATAAAAGATAAATTTGAATAATAACTTAAAGGTTCAAATAATTTAGATGTGATATCTCTCAGGGTAGGGTGTCGTGCTGGCTTGAATGCTAAGAATGAATA